AGCAATTTGTTGTCATTGACGTTTTGTTACGTCGTCCAATTGAAAAACAGTTCTAAATCCATATTCATAAGGGTCATTTCGATAGAACGATTACTCGATAGGATCGCATTCAGCGATTTGTTGTCGTTGAAGTTTTGTTACGTGAATAAGGCTACAGGTCTTTGTTTTATACAAGTCTAATTTTAATGATTATATCACTAAAGTATACAGGGATACTCGACTTATTCCTTGAAAGGGGAAATAATAGAGGTTATTAGCATTTTTTTTTAATTTTCACCGAACATGATTTGTTGCTAATTAATTATGGGACAATATTATTTGATCCTCTAAAAACTAATTGATCTTTTTTGTATGTGCACTTTTAAAAATAAATGATGTTTTTTATTATATTTTATCTTTATATTAATTATTGGGTCTATATTAGTTGATCTACGGATAAATTATGAATGATCTTCATTAAAGGTAACATAATATTTATTTTTAACATACTCTTTTAATATTTGGTAAACAAAAATAATATTTGATCCTCTTTTTTAGTTAATGATCTTTAATTTTGTTAATTTGATGATTTTTATATCAAGTTTGCCTTTTAATATTGATCACCTAATAAATACATTTCAATCTATGTATAACTTAACTTTAAAATATATTTGATCTAACAAAAAATATTATTGGTTAATATTTTTAATTAAAAAATATCTTTTAATTTACGCGGTACTTTGTGGTTGAGTGACAATCGTCCGTCATTGGTTACTGAGTTGGCCAAGGGCTTAGCGGCCAATAAGCAAGCAGAATGGTACATTGCCATGTTTGTTTAAATTACAAGCTTTGCTTAGTTTGGGACTAGAGGCGCTATGTAAAATAATTTCTTACTTCTGACATCCCTGAACCCGACATCATAATTTTTACCTCTTTATTTTTTTCAAATCGCAAGGTTGATTTTCTCTTAGTATACCGATCTCGACCGTGATCAGTGACCATAAAGTCATCTGTCAACGGGTCGATTAGACACGATAAAAGCACTAAACGATATTTGTTTACTTTTAGTGCGACATCGGGTCGTAAGGACCTGATAATTTTTTTTTTCCAAATATTTACTGTGTTTGACGAAACAATTGCAAAACAATATTTATCTTTCGTACTACTGAAAAGACCGAATATATCCATCCCGCACCAACGCATCCAGCACCTAAGGTCAATTCGACCCGATAACGCAGTGTGAACGTGTTAAGTATGCTTTTTTAATAAAAAAAAATCTTTGAACATCAAGTGCCTTTAAATAGTTTCCATCCTTTGACTACAACTTAATAAAAATAAGTACCATAACATAATTATTTTGAAGATTATTTGATATAGACAATAAATAATTTATACAAATCGAATTATTTAAAAAAGTATCACAATATTGAATATTTGGTGCTCATTTCTTTTATTTTTGAGGACCAACAAGTAACGATCAGATATAATTTTTACATCTCAAATTTTTTTTGCGTAGTTCAAAAGAGGTTAAAATATCGATCGATTTCATTTATTTTATGTCTCAAAGAAAGAGGATCAATCATTAAAATAGATGACCATTTAGATTTTTTTATTTGCCGTTTTCGCTAATTTAAAAAGATCATTTAAATACATGCCATTAATTATCTCTAGTATCATCCTTTCAATAATAGGTTGAGTATCCCTGTAGTGTCACCCTGTATGTAACTAAAAAACTTAAGTGCATAAAGTTAAGTATAAGAAGCAATAAATAATTTAATGTAATTTAAAAAAAAGTTAATTCGCATTTCCTTGTAAAACTAAGGTAAAAAACAATGCTAAATTGGAAATCGCCTTCCCGTTTGAGGGTTAATCCGAAGCTAGAGAAATCCAGGACCAAATGCAATCAGATTAACTGTAGCCAAACGTAAGAGCTGAATTAAACTTGTCCCGGGATAGTGGGAGGGGTTTTAAAATTTCCAATTGATAGGATGCAGGTCGTTTCCAATATGGAAATCATTGGGGAAGGCCTATGTTCAGCAGTGGACGTCTTATGGCTGAAGTAATGATGAATTAGCGTAGTACCTGCTTGATGGACGGACGACCTCAGCAATATGGTTGGGATGTTGATGATAAATAGGTAAGTGTTTAAGATTTTCGTTAGAAGGTAGAGAATTGAAAAACTTTTTTTTATGCAGAACAAATCAGGTATTTGCAATCACACCTGATGTTAAGTGAGATGTATTCTAAGATGGTAGGTATACATACCTGCCCTGTAAGTGCCTATTTACTCTCGTCTTATAGGTAAGTATTTACTTTTAATGGTTAGGCACATGGCTCAATACCTAAATGATTTATGACTAGAATTTAATAACTCGTCTATCAATGAATTCCATGATTTTTCATTATTTATTACTATCATTTTGCAAAAAAAATTACGCTATTTTTACGACCCAATACTGCAATTCACATTCATTCCTAACTTAAAACACACACCGATTTTTAAATACAGAAGCTCAAAATCGATCACTATAGACTGTAGCGTCTATTAAATACATTATGTAACACGTACAGTGCAGTGCAGGGAATTAGGCAAATGCAATCGGATTTGGGCAAATCTGCGTGATGCAGCTGCGCCCCACCTGTATAGCTAATAAGATAGGGGATTAAACCGGTTTTGGCCGGTTCGGGAAACCATGGAAGTTTGTGTTTCCGAATGGGAAGAGATAAGGGTTTTGAGATACATTTTATTGGGATGCAATAAAAGTTGCAAAAAGAAACATCATCATTATCTGACCGTTTAGTATGCAAAAAGGACTTAGCTCATACATTCCTCAAGCTGGTCAGATGATACCGGAAAACATAAATAAGTACCGAGATATTTATGTCTATAGTAATTTTAGAAAGAGGATCTTGAATAATTGCAGAAAGAAGTACTTACCTAATGCCAAGGATACTGAGACAATTGAATCTATAGGTTCAACCACTGTTAACGTATTTTTTTGTAAAACAAAATTTTAAAAATTACAGTTTCTTCTGGCACAAATGATATTTAGTTAAGAAAAATCTTTTTTAAATTAGTTTATTCCGAAATCGTTTATAAACATTTTTCACTTTTATGTTACACAAACGGAATGTGAAATATTCATAGATCCATACATCCCCTATTCGCTTTGACTAACAAACATTCTGTACCTGTGTAAATGCTCAATGTACCGTGAAAAATAAATACCCATTGGATTGGGTTTAAAATGCAAATGTATCATTGCATCGCAGAACGATATCGGATCCTATTTTTTACACCCACTGGGTTTTTATTGCTGTTTAAAATGCTGAAAATGTAGCGTTCAACAGTGCGTTAAAATCGGTTTTAATCGTTAATTGATAGCAAACACTAAATATTTTGCAAAAAAGAAATAGATCAACGAGGAGATTCATTGTGTGGAGATTTCCGAAAAATTTCGTCTGCCTATGAAGCATGGCACATGATTAATGTAGGTAATACAGATTATAGATACACAATAATATGTACAATACCTTTTATTACGAGAAGTTTGGTATTTTTACCTTAATATCATACGTTCTTATTGCTACCACCGTAAGGTTAAGGACATTAACATTTTGCACTATAACTCTGCTGTTTTTAGGTTCCGTAGTCCTGACAAGGAACCCTTATGCCTTATTAAATAGTTTCGATATTATGTCCGTCTGTCTGTCTGTCCGAGGTTTTGCTTGGTAAAAATTCTTAAGAAGAAAATATTCAAAAGTGACTTTAGATGAAGTACAGTCGCGGAATGAAAAGGTTCGTCACCTTAGTGTCGGTTTTCGCTTGCACTAGGTACTGTAAGAGTCAATTGAGAACCTGCCAACATAACAGTGCAAGAAACAGTGCTGCTAACATTTAAATAAATATGAGGGCATTTCTACAGAACGGTGTTTTTTTTCTCAATTCGGTGCTAAAATTAATATTTAGTTTTTTAAGTAGTTTCAATACAAATAAATAAAGTTTACTCCATTCTGAATGTTAAAATAGCATTGTCACTAAATATTGTGAAGTGGTTTATGAAAAAAGTCAAGCANAAGACTTTAAAAAATGTTTTCGCGTATCTATTGTTGCATACTTATTCTAGGATATTATTTGGTGGGTATCGTGGTGCAAGTTTAGTTGCTTAGTTTTTCCACGAAACTTTTGGGCACATTATGCTGGTAATTTTGTGCAAGTCTAGATGCCTAATTCTTCCACGAAACTTTTATTCGAATAATAATATCTATCAATTGATACAAATTTAACAAAGCACAAATTAACTTAGTTTCAGTCATTTAAGTATCCGAACCACTACTTCTTGCACTAAATACCCTTGTAAGACTATCAGATCCTGTGTGTTTATCAAAAATTCGTACCAATCATGGTGGTAAAACGTGGTAAAATGATCGGTCTTTATGAGTACAAGACACATTTTAAATTCTGTCTCTCTCTTCAGTGAACCGTTATCGTAGTAATCGTGATAAATATTCATCTTTCCAGAGCCGCATGAGTCCATTTATAAGCTTCTGCGTGTATTGCCAGTGTGACAAGGTATGTATCTTTACGTCTTTCAAAGCAGTAAGCAACAATCGGTGCGTCCCTAATTATAAAATGACACAAATTTGTATGTATTTTAAGGAATATTGTCATCAAAAGGACATAGTGGTCAGANGTCAAGCACCGAATTGAGCGAGCACCGAATTGAGAAAATGAATCACGGAATTGAGAAATGAAACTCCAAATTTAAAAATCGCTATGCAAACTTAGAATTGATGACATTATGTAGAAATACCTAATGTATTTCAATAATCAAAATAATAAATACCTGAAACGTTTTTATATCTATTAGTTAGATGGTTAATTTTAGGTTTAAGTGTCTGAAATATCCAAGCGAATAAAACAAAAATCCTAATCATTATGTTTAATTTTTTAATAAGGAACTATGAATCATTCTTAAATTTAATTAAAGTCTCTTTGTTTATTTATTCTTAACCTTAAACATAAAACAAATATAGCAAGACCCAAGAGCTAGATTGACCTGTCACTATACCGAAGATATACCGGACGTCAGTTTGTACAAGATTAAAATGGCTCTCAAGCACCTGAAATACAACAAGGCACCGGGTGTTACGGCATCATGGCTGAGCTTCGCCGGTACGGTAAAGGCTCTAGAGAAGCAGTTCAATTCCGTCATCCTCGAAGGAAAAACGCCTTCGGCATGACACAGAAGTGTGGTGATAGAATTATGGACTCATCTCACTTCTGAGGCGTATTTACAAGCTGTTTTCGAGAGTCCTTACGAATCATCTCGTTCGCAGACTCATCGACTTCCAGCCTTCCGAACAAGCTTGTTTCCGAAAAGGCTTTAGTATTATGGTACACACACAGGTACGCTACGGCAGATTATACAGAAGACCAAGGATTCGCGGACGATATCGTAGTCATGACTGAGACCTTGGAAGATCTATGTACAATGCTCAATGGCCTTTCCAGAACCTTTCAACAAGTGGGTCGCAAAATGAACATAGACAAGACAAAAATCATGTCAATTTTTCGTATTGCACCCACTCTTCTGAAGGTTGGAGACTCTACACTCGAAGTTGTTGACAATTGTGTATACCTGGGACAAAGAGTCCAGATAGGTAGGTCTAACTTTGAGAGGTCTATCGCTGAATTTAACTCAGCTAAGCAGCGTTCGGGAAGCTTCGCTATTACGTCTGAAATATCATAGTGTCTCAAGACAAAATTCTTCGACCAGTGTATGTTGCCAGTGATGGTGTATGGATGAGGATGTGAAACGTGGTCGCTTACTATGAGCCTAATAAGAAGGCCCAAAAGCCGATGGAGCGTTCTATGCTCGGAATTTTCCTGCGTGATCGAATCAGAAATGAGAAGATCGGCAAGAGAACCAAAGTGACCGACATAGCACGCAGAATTGAAGGAAGAACCTGGATGCGGACAGTGCACGACCGGCTGCTATGGACATCCTTGGGGGAGGCCTTAGTCCAGTAGTGGACGTCATTTAGCTGAAACGAACGATCGAACGAAAAATAAAATAAAATGAAGAATTAGGTACATAATATTGAAATAAAACACATAATTATTTAAACAATTAGTAAAAAAATGGTTTTGTTTAAACATATCCCATTATTTTTGTGCATTTTGCTCTTAAAGTTATGATGAACAGAGGTGTCGTTTTACCTGTACATTATCAAGTTTTCAAACAAAAAAACTATTAATTATATTGGACAGCAAAATATTCATTACTCAATAATTTATAACTGTGTTTTGTGGAACCAATAATTATTAGATTATATACAAAATATAATAACTCCTCGTAGTATAAAAACAATTGAGCAAATAAGATAGATTTAAAAAATATAATAATATAAAAATGAGACAAGCATTCTATTTTCAAAATCGTTGCGATAAGTGAAAGTACATATTTTTAAACTTCTGCTTACATCGATTACTAATGTTTTGAACTATTGTTTTATAATATTTTGATAAGATAGCAGTACCAGTCTATTCTTTTTAATTAAACCTCAAAAATAAGTTTTATTGTCTTCTGTCCAATGACTGGTAGTGTCCAATGATTGTTAGTTTACCCTATTATTATGCTCTATTGATTTCATTATCATTTTAAGATACACAAGCAATTTATTGTCTCCATTTTCACTAAATATCAATTCTGTGTATACGTTTTCTCAATTCGATGCCCCATATTCCGCGGAATTGAGATCCACGGAATTGAGGAAACATCACAATCCATCAAATTACTCGAAAATGTTATAAATTACAACAATTTCTACAAAACGTAATGGCAGATATCAGTTAAACACTCAATTAATTCAGCAGTAATCTCATTAAATACTTCATGAACATTATTAATGTCGCACACCGATTTGAGAAATGACCAGTGACCAAAAATTCTGAGTGATTTCAAACCTCTGAAAAATGCTCCTCAAAGCGACAGTTCCCTCTTCTACACTGCTAGACCACTCGAGCGCAACTGCTAGTTTGTGGGAATCAGTCGTGGGCGTTTGTACTGTGCTTAGTTAGTGATATAGGAGCAGAAAAGTAAAAATCACGGAATTGAGGCACACACGTCGGACAAAGTTTAAATGTGTTACTGTATTAAAACCCAAGGACTTACATTAAAGAAACTCATATATATGGCTTTATTAACTATCCCTTGTTCTGTGAATGTGGATATCATAATGGGGAAGTTATTATTTCAAAAGTTATGAAGCATAAACGAGTAAATTCTGGAAACCGGACACTCCATTTTGAGCCAAATTTCGCCCGTTTTTGAACTTTCAGATTTTTTTAAGGCGAGATGTAAAGCCTGGCGGTCTTCTAAATATGCTCTCCATCAAGTCAAGAGTCCTATAAATACGTGTGATTTTTTTCAAGTACGTACTTCAATTTTAAAGGTACTTTTTTTGCCCCAGTAGGTCAATCGGTCGTCCCCGTAGAAATGCCCATGACGTTTGCTAACGAATAAAGTTTTGCTTGTTTATTTTTCTATCCCATCAGTGCAATGTTACACAATGTAGTTTTTTTTTATAGAAATAATACTGGCAGGTTGAACCAACTAGAAGGTTTTAGTTTATCAATCATAATAATCTTCTTGACAAGATAAATCGTCAAACAACTTCGATCTGAATAATTTTGAACTTTACTAGGGAACAGTTAAAGATTATTTTCTCTAACTCGAGATTATTCTGTAACATAGTTTCAAAAGGTATTATGTGCTCGCGATTCGTTGAAGGAATCAATTTGAAAACTGACGAACCTTTTCATTTCGTGACTGTACATAATTTCTTGCTTCTGAAATACAAAAATAAAATTTGCCTTCATTGCACGTAACAGATCCGTTAATCTTGTTCCATTTTTGATATTCTCTATTATTCGGTTACGATTAAACCGAAATTCGAAAACCCTTTGTGTATTTCGTGGCAAATAAACGGCACCGCAGAACTGTGCCATGTGGGGCCATTAGCCAAAACTGGGGATTACGTTGTACACCGCCCGGCGTACACTGGCGGGCGCTGAGCCCCGGATTTATTGTTGCCACCGCGCAATGCTTTCTAATGTGGCATTTTTGAATGCCTGTTTTTGTGGCTGGAGGTGTAATTTTAGTGGTGTTGGAAAAGTTTGGACAAAATCACAATTCTATATTTTTATCTACTTTCTGCATGGAATAATAAGTATTTTCGCAGGGAAATGAGGATATCAGGGATTTTGCGGAATCCCTAGAGATACCACGACATCACGGTAGATTTGGAATGTTCTTGTTTCTTACGTCTTCTTGTTTATGTTACAATAGACTATCATAATCTTTATACATACACATACTCAAATTAATGGTAGTGATCTCAAAAATGATGATTGTTTGGAAAAAAACCAAGCGAGTATATCGTGACTCTTTACTCTTTTCACAAATACTCTATTACAGAGTTACAAAGTTGAAGTAATTAAGCGATTTCATCGTTAAAAGAAATCGTATTTCAAAGAACTATAACTTCACTATCTTTTAAAACGAAAGAGCAAAGTTTTAAGCGAAATGAAACAACAAGTAGGTACTCAATAATTAACTATTTTAAGCTGTATTTTAATAAATCTTATCTTATTACCCATTAATTCATGCCAGCAACAGTTTTATCATAAAAGAAATAGAATCAGTAAGCCAATTAATTAGATAGAGTGATAATTCATTTGCACAATTTTTTGCCGTTAATGTTCCAACAGCTGTACTATGTTTTTTCGATTTAAATGCTTAATTTAGAACTTAACTAGCTTTTTTCCGCGACTTCACCAGTGTGAATTTCGTTCTACCACAGAAAGAATTCGCGCCAATTTGCTGTTCATAAATCTTTTGGCTATAATTTTGTTGATTCAATTTTGGACCAATCACAATAATTTATTTTAGAGTGTGGACTCTTAGCTTAGAGCAGTTTAAAACACATAACTTAAAGCGGAGTCGTGAAAGCTCGCGCGATAAAAAAGCTTACGTAATAAAATTGTCAATAGCACAACGAATCGGAGTCGGACTACCGATTCGAAGAACGCTAGTACGTTCGACCACTGGACTATTATGGTAATATATTATTGTGATAATACACAAGCATATTTAGCTTAATTGGAGGGGTTAATAGGAATATTAGTAATTTGTTTACGAGAATAATAGGGCTCTATCAAATAGAATAATTGAGTACGGGACTATTCCCACCTCTCGTTCCTACCGCTACATCTCCTGTGTAGCCAGGATCTACAGCTTGACCGCCAATAAAAACCCAACCAGTGGAGGTCAAGTATGTCCCGGGGAAAAGTTTTGAATAGGATTCATACGTGAATATTGGTTATTTTTTTATTACAATGCATATTATCCGTGTGAGATCATGCACAAAACTTGTAATTTGAAAGAGCCTACCTTTTGAAAAATTTCAACGGAACTTGCTGAAGCTTTTACAGTTATAGCAAAGCTTCACGTTACATTCTCTGTTTCAAAATCCAATTTGAATTCAAATGCAATTAATTGGAAATCAGTTCTAAACTTGGACGATTCGTGCACTAATGGCATTTGTGGGACAAACTGGAATGAAACTTTGGTATGGAATAGTCACGTAGAAACCATAAAATGGAAGAATTTTTTCTTGAACTTTTTTATGAAATTACTTCTATAGAATTGGTAGGTGATTGTTTTTGAAGTCACTATTTTAGTTATTTCCATCAAAACTATGTAGGTAGATTATAAACTTATAGGTATTTAACGAATCAGAAATGAAGAGATCAGAGCGAAAACAATAGTAGAAGTGGTAGTAGGCAGGGCATAATATAGCTCGTATAGAATTGATGGCCGTTGGGGTAGAAAAGTTTTTGAGAGCTAACCACGAGCCAGAAGACGTAGGCAGAGCCTCTAACTGAGTGAACCGACGATCTGTGAAGATCACGAGAAGCACTTGGATGCAAGCAGCGTAAAACCGATCGTAGTGGAAATCCTTGCGGCAGGCATCCTTGTCCAGCTATGGACGTATTTAAGTTCAATAGTATAACAGTATTGACGAACTAAGTATTTAATGCTTATTTCCAGTTTAATCCTGACACATAGATAAACAAACGAATAACCAAATGATCCTAGAAAATCTCTATTTTTCTATCGATACGGAACCCTGAAAATGTGCTATCTTTGGTCATTTAGCTGTGACGCAGCTACGGGCCCCAATCCTCTCCCATTTACGTCAACTACCTGACAGCGACACGTAAATTGTGCTGATAAAACCAGAAACAAGGACTTTTACACTGTACGACGTAATAAAAATATTTTGCGTTAATTATCTTTGCTAGTTTTGTGTTAATTTTGTATAACTTTTGTCTGAAAGTACGAGTACATGAGTCTTTAAATACAATTAAGGGGAACCTTTTGCCTGTAGGCATCGTAACTTTCGTACACTCTTCTCACGTCTATTCAATAAGACTTCGACGACACATTCAAAGTGATAGGTGGTAAAAAGACATTTCAACCGATTGTAATGGTGACTGAGTTTGTTCCGGCGTTTCTTCTCAGCACTTGCCATATTATGTTTGTCTCGAAGCGCTGGTAGGGCCCAAAAGATAAGGAGACATGTAAAGTGATTTTTATTTTTACTTTATTTCTAAGAATATGGTACAGTGTACCTATCCGCGTATCGCGTTAAACCTGTTTAAATTAATTTAATAAATTGGTTAACCAGTATGACGAATATCACGACTTCACTGAACCGATTGTAATGAAGATTAAATGAACCTCGTTCTACGTTGATAGTTTCTAATTCTCAATCATGAATCGTGTCGTGATCGTGTCGTGGTCTTTAAAAGCCCTCCCGTCCGACATAACGATCCGGAGCGACATACTGTTATAATTAAATCTGTCATAGCACAATGCGGCGGATTCGGCCGTTAACTCTAGTTGTAACTAACTGTTATTATAACGATATAGTTTAGTTATAGACTTTGTATATAGAGGTATACTGTAGATTTACGTCACCAACTTGTAAGAGAAGTTAATTAATCATGA